AACTGGAAGACCCCATGTGGAAGCAGGCACAGAAGACCAATGCTGAAATAGCCAAAGGTTTGAAATCTTCATCTGCTGGAGTGTCTGGTCTTTATGCAAAATCCCTTAAAACCAGGGCGGGAGGTGTCAAATGCTCTCAATTTTGACTCAGGTATGGATTAGTTGCAGCATCGTCCATATCTTAAAAACAACGTAAAAGTTTTTATACATGGACAAAGCCATCTGGGGGATATAGACCTACCTCAGGATCTAAACTAGTAGTAAAAATAATAAGAGAAAAACAATCCAACAAATCAAGAAATAAAAATCATCGTACGGTTTGTATATGAGAGGACTGAAACACTGCAATGTGAAGAGTGCAGTTATTGAAATTGCCAAGGAACCCAGACCTTCAGTTCTTGTTGAAAATGAGATATAAATGAATACATTCCCCTCAGGAGAGAATGTATGGTATTCAGACCCTCTCAATAGTTTTCAAGATTTTTTTTTATACCATATGCCCAAGTTCACAAAGGAAACTACAGAAAAGCCAAGACTTGAATCCAGATCCATTGAGACCCAACAGAGTGCTTTATTAATAAAACTGTCTAATCTTGGTATTGAAAAGAAATCCCCAGGTGCAGAAAAAGCTAATGTTATACCTACCAACCCTTTCAGACAGTTTTCTGATGCATCAGCATAACTTGTCTAGTTGAGTTTTAGACGTTTGCTCTTACTGAAACCCTGTTTTCCGTCTGGCAGTCAAATAGCTGAGAAACCACATAGATCAGTATCAGTGAGAAAAAGATGTAAAGATGAACGCTGTATTCAGCAATTGGTACATAATTTGCAACGTGATATTCTCATCTTGGTTGCTTGCATTCTCAAGAGAAATAATCTAGTTAGGAATGCTCGTACTTAGCAATTTAATCATGATCTATTAGCACTTTATGGGCCTAATCTGGCAAGTCCACCTTCAGGCAAAAGTCTAGTTAAAGTCAATAGAAGTTTTGTAAGACTAAAGACTGCAGGGTCTGACACATTAGAATTACATGGTTGGTGATCATCCTAGTAGGGAAAAGGGATATCACAAAAAGATTTTAATGAACTGTTTACACTATTTTAGTCCATCACAGTCATTTCAATAGAATCCTCCATTCTTAGAAAATATATACATTACATTAAATCAATTAAGAATCATAGATCAGTGATTATTCAGTAGTATGCACATAAAAACAACTTTTCCCCATCTCTTAGTGATTAGCCGTTGCACAGTGCTTGCATTTCTAATTACAGTCAGTCTGTAAAAGCTGAAATCCTGATTACCACAATATGTGCTAAACGGGCAGCATTTGTTTTTATTTTTCTTCCATCACAAGAAATAACCACAGTTATCATTCTCATTTAGGATTGTTCAGACTGTGGGTACGTATACTGCTACTGATGTACAAGTCATTTCAAAGCAGTACGTGCTTCAGCACAGACCTAGATGTTTCCAGAGGCAGCGTTGAGAGCATCCCCCACTGTTGCTGCCCAGCAGTACCTGCAAAAAAGCATTTGTGAATCTTTGTGCTAGCATTTCAAAAGAAACCCTGCTCTGTCATGAGCCTCACTTCTTTATCTCTGAGTAGGGGTTAAAATTAAGAAAAAAATCAGTAATTCTTGTTACTGTGTCTTTGTAATAGATCTGATACTGAACTGAAGATTAAATCAATACTGTCATTTCTGTGTAAAATTTCAATTATATTTTAAGTCATTATCAGAGTGAATGTGCCTAGCGCATTCAATTTTATAAGAAAACTAATCATTAATTTTATCTCTGCTGATGGTAATGTCTATTATAATATTCTTCAGAACTGGTGTTTGAAATGTCAGGTTACTTTTTGCCATATTTTAGGAGAAACCAGAATATTAGTATAATATCTCTTATACCAATCTAATACCATTTCAGCTTTTTCATTCATATTTTGTCCCCTTGCAACAAGGATATGCAAAGAATGAGTAACTGTTTTGTCAACAGGGACCATAATGATTAAAATGCAAACAGTAAATACAACTTCAGGTCTGGAATCGGATTATAGGATTAAAATGAATGAAAAACTACTCTGTAGTAGGATTGCAAAGTTCCAATCAATATCATCCTTTCATATTTTTTAAAAGGGAAATGTGGGAAATAAAGAAGTAAGGCAAAGAAAGTGCAACTTGAGGTTGTTAGTGATGCTTTAGTTTCTTGATTTTATTTTGTTTTATCAGTAGGTCCCATTCAGAAAGCTGCAATGTCACTAGGGTTCCATGCTTTTAATTTACATTACATCTGTTGTGCTGCGCTATATTATTTTGCACTTGCATTTTAAGGGTTAAAGACAGCTGTCCTTAGGTTAATACAGTACAAGGGAAGAAGTAACAACAGGTAGGAGGATACCGAACACCTGCGCGTGAGCGAGTGTAGGACTGCCACAGAGACCAGCTATGCCCTGCAAGGTGCCTTTACCCACTTGAGAAGGGGGGTGGCTGCACCTGTGCATTGCTGTGCTTTTGATTTTCTTGATGTGGATGCATCATTTACCTTTTTTAATCAAAGAAGGATGTTTTGGAGAAGTCTGTCCTGGTTAGTCTGAGCCTGGGTACAAAGCCAGCGTGAGGGCTATGACTCATGGACACAGGAGGAACAGGTAGTGAAGCTGCTTTAACTGGTCTTAGCGCCCCCCGCCCTGGTCCTTCATGTGCTGGTGGGCTGTCCCGACTCATCCCTGGGCAGCCCCATGCTGCCCTTGGCCTGCTCCTTCCACCTCCCGGCACTGCTGCTGCCAGCACAGCTGCCATGCCTGGGTTTGTGTTTGAGTTCTCAGATGATCACATCCTCAGGTTTGGTGCCAGGGGCGTTCTCCCCCAGCTGCGTTCAAGACTTAAGTATTTATATGCTGCTTCAGTCTTTTCCTCCTTGGTAGATGGCTGGAGGATGGTAAAAAAAAAAATGAATCAGTGTTATTTCAGATATTGTTCAGGACAGCTGTACTTCTTACTTCAGTGAGAAGTAGATTTTCCAGCAGAAGGCTTATCTCCTGGATCATGGGGAAGTGCCATGAGAAGTGCCACCTCTTAAAGAACTGGATTCTGAAAGCTTCTGTTCTTTACATATTATCTGTGTGATGAGGCCGTGTTTTCATCTCAAACAATCAAGCTAAGTGAAGGTGTTCGATGCTTAGTCTTACGCATCTGTAGTTGGTTGCCTTTTCAAGAGTAAATGTGCTTGTCACTTTCTAAAAGTCAAGCCTGTCTGAGAAGAGCTCTCCAAAACTGGCAGCACTTAAACTAGACTTTTTTTTTTAATCTCCTGAAAAGTGTTAGTTACATCTTTTTAGACACCTAGAGGAATTCAGCTATGGTAAAGTTGTAAATAAGGTTTTTAAAGGCATTGTCGTTATCAGGGAGTCTAATGTGTCTTCGCATAAATCGGAGGTGTTTTGGTCATTTTACATGCTGGGTCAGCTGCTAGGGCAGTTGGACTCTACATACATAGACGCTGTGAAAATAAACCATCCTGCTATTTACCTTTAGGTGGTAGTTACAGTTACTATTGTTCCCTGATACTTGGCACCTCCTGTCAGGAGGCAAGTCTGACTAGATGCTGCATCACATGCTTATAGTGCTTCCAGAACTGAGCCGCTACTTCCAGAAGTTGCTGCATAGCACAACGTATAGTTTCCTGATTATCTTACAGTAGCCTAAAGAACTCTGCACTGTGCTCCACTCTATGATATTGGCCTGTCCACAAGTTCATAGGAAGTCGACAGCACAGATAAAATTGCTCCTCTCACCAGAAGAGCTTCATGCTGTACATTTGATGCCTTACTTTGGTTTAAGAAGAGAGTTCTGCACTCATTCTTCTTGAATCAGTGAAACCTGGGCATATTTAGAAGCTAGAGCAAAAGGAAGAGAGGCAAAGTCCACAAAATTGGGTTCCTGTGGAGTGGCCCAGGCCCAATATCAAGCACAGAGCAAAGATGAATGGGAAGAAAACCAAAGCCTTTGTTGGAGAGAAGTAGGGAACTGGGAAATAGGACGACAACGTAGCATAAAGTCCTGCAAGCATGCACAGGCAGTGCCCATAAGCAGGTTGAAATTGCCTTCAGAAGCAATACTCACTTGAACTTTTGCTTGTAGCAAAATGAAGGGAATTTGTATTTTCTTCCCCATTTTCCTGTCTTAATCCCTCTGAAAGAACATGGCACTAAGCAGTGACTATCATCACAATGCATTTCTGATTAACAGCAAGGGCACAAGGGCACTCTCAAAATAGAAGCAAAGTCAGGATTGTTTTAAATCACAGTGTTGCAGAAGTATTAAAGCAGAAGCCATAATTTTAATGTGTTCAAAAATAAAATGCATGCTACTGTAAATGGTTGTGTACATTCATCTAGCTGCTACTGACTGGCATGACCTTTTGCATTAGGTTTTTGTGATTCGTCTTTTCTTTTGTTTCAGAGAGTCGTATGATTCTGGATGCCTTTGCCCAACAATGCAGCCGGGTTCTAAGTCTTTTAAATTGTGGTGGAAAACTACTGGACAGCAATCACTCTCAGTCCATGATTTCTTGTATAAAGCAGGAAAACCCAAATTATAGTGAAAGACAAGAGCAATGCCAGCTTGGGAAAATGGTCCATAGTCAGACATCAGACATTTTAGACATAGAGATGCAGTACATGCAAAAGAAACAACAAACCTCAGCCTTTCTGAGAGTTTTTACTGATTCCCTTCAGAACTACTTGCTTTCTGGGAGCTTCCCATCTCAGAACACCTCTTCAGTAAATGATTTTAGCCATTTGGCAGATGTGGATCCACTTTCAACCTCTCCAGTACACACTTTAGGTGGATGGACATCTCCAGCAACTTCTGAATCTCATGGGCACCCATCATCTTCTACACTTCCAGAGGAGGAAGAGGAGGAAGAGGAAGAAGGTTACTGCCCTCGGTGTCAAGAGCTAGAGCAGGAGGTGATTTCATTGCAACAAGAAAATGAGGAACTTCGTAGAAAATTGGAGAGCATTCCAGGTAAATAATCCCCTGCCAAATAATTTTTTCAGTCAGTGATAAGCATAGTTTGGGTGATAGTTTGTTTTAAGTTCTGGTCGATTTTTTAAAGGATGCAGCCATAGTTATCTAACACTGAAATTTGTCTTCAACAAAAATTCCTGTGATTGTGCGCACCAGAAAATTACCCGCTGATACCCATCCATATGAATTGTGAGTCCTAAACTAATGAGCTGTGTTCAGGATGTACGTGTACTTGCAGTCCCAAGTCCCAAACTATCAGTTGGTTTGTCATGGTAATCTGAAACTTACGCTTTTATACCTAACTATCCGTATTGCAGTTTAAGTGATGTTGCAGCTTATAAACCTAATTCCTTCTTGGGGCTCCTTTTTAGATTCTTAAAGAAACTATACAAAGTTATGTCCATACTTCTAACAAAATGGATTCCACTTTTATCTTGAACAGCATCTCTTAAACCTCTCTTAGCTCAGTGAAAAGCATAAATCTCCTTCCATTCGTCTTCAGATAAAATCTGGAAAAGGCTCCACAATAAGTTCTCCAGTTCAGCAATATCTACCCATCACTGGGTGGGGAGAAAGAAGCAGAATGCCTTATCCAGTGAAAACTCCTCTGTAAAAAAACCCTTCCATTCCCCTTTAAACACAGGACTTCCAGTGTTAAGATGCGCTGATGTATTCGAACAGTGGTATCGGATGAGAACAAAGTGTTTTGGCCCAACGTCCTCTTGACTTCAAGCACTGGCAAAAATGCACCTCAAATAATAATACTAAAAGCAATTGGAAATTAGCAAAAATAAAATAAACAAGTATAAAACATGCTTCTTTTCTGTAACGTTTATATACACTAGGGAGTTGCACCATTGCTAGCTAAAATTTGGAATGCTTATGTCAGCACCATGCAGAGTTCATTGAACTAACCCCTAGATGAGAGAAAAGCATGGATGATTTAGCTGGGCAGCAAGTGAGAGAAAATATTCCAAAACTATCTCTGTGGAGAGGAAAAAAGACAGCAACAAAATGCTGTCTGAAAATGCAGATGCAGTTTCAAAGTCTGAGCAAAAAGGAGTCAGGAGAGGGAGAGTAGTTTTCACCATTCTTCTCCCCAGCTATTGATGTTCTTTTATTACTTCCTTGTATTACATGGGGTTGTTCTCTTACATATTGGTCCAGAGCTGCTACCAGCTGATCTCATAACAGACACTGTCCAGAGCAGAGAAATCTCCAGATTTAGAATACTACCTCCAAAAATCTTGAGTCCTCATAACTCATACACAGTGGACACTTACTGGATTCAGTGGTTCGTATACCACATGGAAGTGCTATATGGCAAGGGGAATCCTTTGGACTTCATCTCCTGCTGAGGCATAGTTTCAGAAATGTAAGACCAAAAAATGATCGTTAGAGTCTATACTCTGACCTACAGCTTTCATCCAGTGATCTATATAGGGTCCAATAACTTCTCTCTGACATTGACTAAAGCATAACTTACATTTAACTAAAATAATATCCCAGAAAGCCTCCAGTCCTGAGCTGAAAACTCTGAGAAGCAGTGGATCTACGGCTTCCCCTGACAGTTGTTTCCAGTGGTTAATCACATTGTTAAAAATGAGTGCCTAATTCCCCACCTGAATAGCTGAAATCCGCTTTTATGCTTTGATTTTTATACATTGCTCCACTAAATAAAGCGCTCTTTAGTACGAGTTACTTTTTCCAGATAAAGGTACTTTCATACTGAGAGCTGACTTAATTTCCATCTTTAGATAAACTAAGCAAACAGAGCTGTTTAAACCTCCCAAAATGAGTTGAATTGTTCTTTATAATTCTTTTCTTCTCTCTGCACATTTCTTTAAACTTTGGACACTGGCAGTACATGTAATATGTTCATTTCTGCCTCGCTGAAAGTGAATAGTCTCTTTGTTCCTACTCGCTGTTGCCCTGTTTATTTGACCCTAGGTTGTGCAACTGAGCACAACAAGCCCCCATACAGCTCCCAAAAGACACCTTCTCATTCTGTGTGCTTTTTTTCCTAGACAAATAACTTTGCATTTGGTGGTATTAAGTTACTAGGTGATCCAGATTGCTTTGACTGCTCTGTTTTCCCATTATTTGCTACTTCACCAATTTTTGAATCGTCTAGAATTTTTCTGATTGTTTCCACATTAACTTCCAGGTCCCGGGTAGAAATGTTGAATGGTTTTGAGGCTACTATCAGTCCTCGTAGGACCCTACTAGAAACACTGTTATTCATGAGGATCCCTCATTGACAAATACTTGAGATGTCAGTAGCAAGTTCTTAATCAGTGGATGTTGTAGTCTACTGATGTTGTGTATTGCTGCTTTCACAATCAGAATGACACAGGGTAGTAAGTTAAATGCCTTTCAAGAATCTAGGTGTGTTACATCTATTCAACTAAACTTTATCAATCAAATCTGTAATCTCAAAGAATGAAAGAATGAAAAGAATGACAGTCAGGTTAGTTTGACAAGATCCACTTTCCATAAAACCATTTTGACTGGCATTAATTTTATTCACATGCTTTAGTTCTTAGTCAGTTGAATCCCATGCGTGATGTCCTGTATTTTGCCAAGATTAATGCCATGCTAGAGCAGACAGTATTTACCTGGGTCATCACAATTACCCTTCATCTCACTTTAAGAGAGGGTAAAGTCACATAAATATAGTCCTTTTTCACCATCCAGGAATAATGAAACACCTTGTCAGTGGTGTATCAGTGGAAACAGAAAAACCTAAAATAATTGTGCAAGGATGTATGACTTCATCAGCTAACATAACCTCATCACGAAATGCATCCATTGCTGGCTGGGTAATATATATGCATGTAGGCCTAGAATGAACCAAGTGTTTGAGGAAACGTTAAGGACCATAGAAACTACCATCCTGATATTGCTGCATGCTAGGACGTAGGTCTGAGCGCCCCGGCTAGTCCCCACAGCCACCACTAAGCACGTTTAACTGAAAGTCAAGTAAAGGAGTAAGCCTGATTTTCTCGTCACAGGAGCTGATTTTACTCTGGTGAGGTTCCCGCTACCAGAGAAGCTGCCACAAATTTTCTTATGACTTGAAACAGCCCGCACTGTATGTAAAGCAACACAATGCTGATTCTCTGCCCAGAGCACTTTGCTGATCAAGACTTGGCAGGCCTCGTGAGGGGCACAAAAAGGCCTCCTCGGAGGACTTTGGTACTGTTTGTCCCCGTTGATCGTGTCAGAGTAGTCTCAGTGAGTGCACAGACTTCCTTCCCTGCTTGCTGCTGCCTCTCAGGCTGGGTGAGATTAATGCAGAGGAAGAGTGACTTTAAAGGGCACCAGATTAGCATGGAGGCTGTTATACTGTCCTTTCAAGTGCTGAAAATGGGGTTTATTGACCTCGCTTTTTTTTACCTTTCAGCCTGGAGACCTGTTAGGCTGGTAGGGGGGCTGGTAGCCCAGTGGGGGCCTGGTAGGAGATGCCCACAGTGCCCTCCACCCAAGAGCCCGAGGCTTCCAGCAGCAACTCCGTAAACAGAAGATAAAAGCACCAGCCCCTCCCTTCTGTTCTATAACTGTCTCTGAATCATTTTGTCCTTTCTTCCTGAAACACTTAGCATTTTTTCACTTTCCATATGCAAAGGCCCATTTAAAATCTATGAGAGTTTGCATTCTAAAAATAGCTACCACAGTACATCTCTAACTGTAGCCTTGCAAAACACCATTTGCATTGCTCACAACAAGAATCCCAGGAAGAAGAGCGTGTTCTGACGAAATGTAAAGGCAATGACATTTTTTGTAACAAATACGACAGAAGAAAAATAGATACTCCTGCATCTTTTAGATGTGGAAAATAGGATTCTTCTGTTATCAGCACTCTTCCCTGTGGCCCTCTGATGCAGTTAGAGAAGCCCTCCAGTCTCGTAACATCTTTCTGGCCGTAGCCTACCACTCTATGGCAGTTCGCCACTGGAGGAAAATGTTTACATGGGTGAAATACTGCATATGTTCTGTTTCTCTTTCTTTTTTTCTCTCAGAAAATACCCATTTGATTTGATGGAAACAATATAAGTTTGTGTGAAATCTCAGTTGTTTCAGCTATGGAATAAATGAAGAAAAATTCATATCTCAGTGCTTTTGTTTTGGAACAATGTGATATTTTGGAATTTCTGCAGGTTTCCCAATTATTTTTTGTTAGGCAAATACATTAACTAAACATTTTCAGTTTTCATCTCAACTGAAAAAAGAGAAACATTTTCATTCAATGTGTTATTTTGTTTTGTTTTGATTTTAAAAAATCAGGTAATTCCTGGAAGGAGTTTGGCTTTTTAGACCTTAAAGAACAGAACAAAGTAATCCCATCTACATGAGGAGAAAAATGTGACCTAATCATCTCTTTCAAAAATGGGCTCTGGGGCATTCCCAATAGTCAAATTAAAGAGTTATTTGTGAAACTGCGTGTAGGACTGGGTTCTAGACCAGATAATATGTAAGAACCTTGTGCAGTGCTCCTTTGATTCTGCCACTATGATGTTCTCACAGCTTTAGACCTAAAAGAGAGAAGATATTTCCTGGTGGTCAAAGCAAAGGCCTGGAGTCCATGAGTGAGGGTTTGCCTCCTGGTGCTCCACACTTTGCTGCGTGATTTCAGACCAAGCAGGCGGAGAGTACCAAGCAGGTGCAAAAAAGTAAGAGAAGGCAATGTGAGATTAACACAGTAATTGTTAACTAACACCTTATGGGCCCAGCAGCAAAAAATTTCTCAGCGAAAGTAGGAAGGATGGAGGTGAAGAAAAACATGAAATCTAGAGAGGTGATAATATAAAGAGAAGTGCATGGTAGCTAGAAGTCGCCAAAGCAAAGCGGGATTTGCAGGTAAGAGTTAATATCAATGTAACTGAAAAAGGCAGACAAGTTTTCCGGAAGGGCTTGCGTGCCTAAGGCTTGACTCTTCTTCCTGACTATGTCAGACGAGCTAA